GCTGGAACTGAGAATTGAACGCAGGACCTGGGTGATCCTCAGATCTCAGCCTCCTGACTAGCTACAATTACTAGTCCCCAGCCACAAATTGATTTTTGTAGTTTTAAGAATGGGTTGGAGCCAGGCGCCGGTGGCTCATGCCTGTAAATCCTAACTACTGAGGAAGCTGAGATTTGAGGATCGCGGTTCAAAGCCAACCCCCAGCAGGAAAGTCTGTGAGACTCTTATCTCCAATAAAGCAACAGAAAACCAGAAGTGGTGCTGTGGCTGAAGTGGTAGAGCGCTAGCCTTGAGCTGAAGAGCCCAGGGACAGCGCCCAGGCCCAGAGTGCAAGCCCCAGGACTGACCAAAAAAAAAGGGGGGGGCATCCAAGACCAGGTCTCAAACTTGGTATCTGACACTTGCTTTCATTTGTTGGCTGATGTGCTGCACCTGAGCTGTGGCTCCAACGCAAAATGGCTCATGCCTGTAATCCTAGCTACTCAAGAGGCTGAGATCTGAAATCACAGTTCAAAACCAGCCCAGACAGGAAAGTCTGTGAACCTCTTTTATCTCCAATTAAGCACCAAAAAACTGGAAGTGGGGGCTGGGAGGGTGGCTAAGTGGTAGAGCTCTTGCTTTGCATGCATGAGGCCCTGGATTCGATTCCTCAGCACCACATAAGCAAACAGAAAAAAGCCAGAAGTGGCTCTGTGGCTCAAGTGGTAGAGTGCTAGCCTTGAACTGAAGAGCTGAGGGACAGCGCCCAGGCCCAGAGTTCAGGTGCCATGACTGGACCCAAAAAAAAAAAGAAAATTAAAAAATCTGGAAGTGGACCGTTTCCAGGCCCTGAGTTCAAGCCCCAGGACTGGCATACACACACAAGGCTCTTTATATCAAACCATTAATTTTATTGCATAGATACACTAGCTTTCCTTGATGTTTATAGTTAATTTCTCAAGCTTGGACAATATCTGTGTCCCAGCCTAAGATTTTTTGGTTTTGTTTGATACTAGAGTTAAACTCAGGGCCTGGATGCGGTCCCTGAGTTGTTTTCACTCAAAAAATGGCACTCTACCACTTGAGGCATAACTCTAATTTCTGCTTCTTGATGACTAATTGGAGATAAGAGTTTCATGGAAAGCCAGGTGCCAGTGGCTCATGCCTGTCATTCTAGCTACTCAGGAGCCTGAGATGTAGGAATCACAGTTCAAAGCCAGGCCAGGCAGGAAAGTCCATGAGATCTTATTCCAGTTAACCACCAGAAAACTGGAAGTGGTACTATGACTCAAATGGTAGAACACTAGCTTTGAGTGCAAAGCTCAAACAGCGCAGGGACAATGCCAAAGCCCTTAGTTCAAGCCCTAGGATGGGGGGTGGGAGGCGGAAATGCTGGGCACTAGAGGCTTACACTTGTAATCCTAGTACTCAGGAGGCTGAGATCTGACGATCATGGTTCAAAGCCAGCCAGAAAATTCCCCGTGAGACTCTTACCTCCAATTAACCACTCAAAAACCAGAAGGGGCCGTGTGGCCCAAGTGGTAAAGTGCTACCTTGAGCACAAAGAGACTAGGAGACAGCACCAGGGCCTGAGGTCAAGCCCCACAACCATCAGGAGACTCTCGCTGCCCAGTTTGGTTTTGAACCATGATCCTCTGATCTCAGCCTCCTTAGTAGCTAGGATTATAGGTGTGAACTCCTAGAGCCAAGCAGCCTAGGTTTTTTAAAGCCTGTTCGCTCCCCTCCTGCCTTCCATTCAGGGCTTTGTGTAGTCATGGAAGTTGTCAGCTTACACTTCTTTCTTTTCTCTAGTGCCTGCAGCTTCTCACCCACACCTTCAACCGAGAATTCAACCAGGTCCACAGCAGCATCAGTGACTGCAAGGTGAGCGAGCACCTGGAGACCATCATTTTTAGCCAGTGGAGTAGCCCAGATTTCCTGTCCCCAGCATTTGCTGACGTTAGTGTTGTGTTTAGTATGTGCTACAGTGGGGCTCTGGTGGCTCATGTCAGTAATCCCAGCTACTCAGAAGTCTGAGATCTGAGGAGAGCAGTTGAAAGCCAGCTTGTGCACACACACACACATCCATGAGACTTATCTCCAACCAACTAGCTTAATGTAATATGTAAAAGAAAAATGTTTTTTTAAAGATGTATGACATGTTGTCCTTGTATTGTGTTCTGAATGTTCAGTATGAGTACGCTGACTTCTGTGTCTCTTGGGGTGATTATCAAAAGGGAGACATTGTTTTTCTCTGAACCCCCTTAGAGGATATGCAGGAAATGATGAATTGTGTAACAGCCAACAAGGAAGTGCTCAGGCTCTAAGTGCCACACAGTTCAGTGCCTTCCACAGAGAGCGAGATGCTTGAAAAAGCTTTGTCATCTCCTCTGTCCTAGTCAGCGTGTGCCAGCTCATTCCGTCTGGGACTTGAACACTTAAAGTTCCCGGTAGAGCCTCTGTCCTGATATGCTTTGTGGGGATGGATATTGTGGGCTTGATCTGTCACTTTACCTCTTGAGCCACACCTCCGCTTCCAGCTTTTTATGCTGGCTAATTATTATAAGAGTCTCTTGGAGCCAGGTGCTGGAGGCTCATGCCTATTATCCTAGCTATTCATGAGGATTGTAGTTTAAGACCAGCCCAGCTAGGAAGGTGGCTCAGTGGTAGAGTGCTTGCCTCCTTAACCACTCAGGGCAAACTGGCAGCTCGCTGGAACTTTCTACATCCCACTGTTAACTTTTCCTTTTTTGCTGTATTACTGCTTGATTCTTTTTGATGTTTATTGAGCCAGGCAGGAAGGCTTAAACCTGAAATCCTAGCTATTTGGGAAGTAGAAATCAGAAGATCATGGTTCAAGGCCAACCTGAACCAAAAACGTTCACAAGACTCCATCTCAACCCATGGCTGAACTCAGCAGTGTACGCCTGCTGTCCTAGAACTCAGGGGAGCACGCACAGAAGGATGACATTCTAGGCATAAAGCCCTGTCACAGGAAATAACCCAGAGTGTTGGAGGAGTGGCTCAGTGGCAGAGCACCTGCCTAGCAAGTGTAAGGTTCTAAGTTCAAACCCCAGAACTACCCAAAAGAAAACGAGAAGAAATGTTTTGTGGAGGGATTTAGTATCTACTTTCTCCACGAGAGGAAGTTCTTGATCATATTGTAGAACAACTCCTGGCATGCTGGGAGTGCCCAATGCACATGCGCATGAACTTACTGACTCCATGCCAGAGGCCTAAGGCAGCCTTGTCAATCCTGTCAATGTCGAGGGGTGTGGGTTCTGTTTGTCTGCTTTTCTATGCAGGGACACAACCCAGGGCCTGGAAGCATTCTACCACTGAGCTACACTGTCCCCAGCCCCCCTTTTGAAAATGTCATGATTCAGAGCATGAAAGACTTGTCTTATCTTCTGATATTAATTGTCTATAGGCTTGTTTTCTTGGGTTTTTTTTGTTGTTTTGTTTTGTTTTTGTTGGTCGTGGGGCTTGAACTGTGGGCCTGGGCACTGTCCCTCAGCTCTTCAGCTCAAGGTGAGCGCTCTACCACGTGAGACACAACGCCACTTCTGGTTTTCTGAGTGGTTTATTGGAGATAAGAGTCGTGCGGACTTTCCTGCCTGGGCGGGCTTTGAACCGCCATCCTCAGATCTCAGCCTCCTGAGTAGCTAGGATGACAGGCGTGAGCCACCAACGCCCGGCCAGGCTTGTTTTCTTTAGTGGCCTTCTGCAGCAGGCACAGAAGGGAGGTGCTGGTCATGTCAGCCCCTCTCGGCAGAGGCAGCTTCCCGCTGCTGAGGCTCACTGGCTATGTCCTTCTTATTTCCAGTTGTCTGACGTCTCTCCAATCGGACGGGACCCCTCTGTGTCCAGTTTCAGCAGTGCTACCCTCACTCCATCCTCCACCTGCCCCTCTCTGGTTGACTCGAGAAGCAACTCTGTGGATCAGAAGTAAGTGCCCAGGTTTCAGGGAGAGAAACCAGTCTGCGAATGAGGGGAAATGTCAGCTCTCCTCTGCTGTGGTTCTCAGCGAGGGCAGCACCATCCGCTTAGGCAGCACTCAGAAACGTATTGGAGCCTTTTCTCATTAAATTTTATTAAGCCAGGCACGGTTGGTTCCCACCTGTAATCCTAGCTACTCAGGCAGCTGAGATCTGAGGATCACGGTTCAAAGCCAGCCCGGGCAGTAAAGTCCATGAGACTCTTATGTCCAATGAACCACCAGAAAACCAGAAGTGGCGCTGTGGCTCAAGTGGTAGAGTGCTTGCCTTGAGCTGAAGAGCTCAGGGATGGTGCCCAGGCCCAGAGTTTAAGCCCCATGACTGAAAAAAAAAATTTTTTTTAATTAAATTTTGGATGCTATCAACCACACAGGAAAGAAAAGCTAGCTAAACCTGACATACTATCTTAGGTATACCAACTCAAGAAGTGGGAAAATGAGTTTCTTGGAATCTGAGGCCAAACTGTTCTTTAGAGACACACATAGCAACAAAGCAGAGGATTTGCCTTCTCACGAATGAACGGCTGGGATGAGTCTTTGGTCAGCAGTACAGCCGGATCTGCCTGCCTCGTCTGCTTGCTTCCTGCCTTCCCTAAGGCAGTGCCTAGAGTCTGTAAGAGGCATGGTAAAGCACAATGGCTAAACCCCACTCCAGGCCTCTCTGGGGGTCTGGGTCCAGCTAGGGACTTGAATTTCTTGGTTTCCCAGATGGAGCTGCTGCTCTTGGTCAGGTTACCACATGTTGAGAACTACTGCCCCAGGTCTGGCCTTGGGGCTGATGCAGGGCAGGTTTGTTTTTGTTCCTAGAGGAGGGCGTGGGACTAGCCGGGTGGGCACCAGCATCCTCTGTGTGCTGGAATCCAGTGTTAGCTGTGGGAAAGCATCTTGTCTTCTCAGCTGAGCTCTCTGAAACTAATGTGAGCCCCTGGTGCCCTGAGAGAGGCGTGCGTCTCCCTGGTAAGGTGGCTGTGCACAGACACCTTGATGTCACTGAAATGAGGATTGGGAATTGTTGAACTGGGGTCTCACTATGGTAGGCCAGGCTGGCTGTAAGTGCTGGGGTTATAAGCGTGCACCACCATGCCTGGCATTTGAACCTTTCTCTAAACTCTGCCTTTTAAAGGACCCCAGAAGCCAACTCCAGAGCCTCTAGCCCCTGTCCGGAAATGGAGCAGTTTCAGATTGTCCCAACTGTGGAGACACCTTATTTGGCCCGAGCAGGAAAAAATGAGTTTCTCAATCTTGTTCCAGATATTGAAGAAATTAGACCAGGGTGAGTGCTGCCTTGTCCTGGGACAGACCACAAGCCTGCGCGAGTGTGTTGCTGTCCAGTGCGCACTGATGTGGCGGGGGGCGGGGGGGGGAGCTTGGCATCCTGCCCCGCTGTTACCTCCAGCATCCTCTCCTGGCATAGCACGTTTCTACGGCTGATCTGCTGAATTACTTTGGCCACTAAGAATCAAGGCCCAATGGATCATTTGCCTGTTTGCTGAATTTGGGAGCTTGCCTGGGAGAGACATATTTTGAGGGTCATGGTCACTGTCTTTATGTGAGAAAGTAACTTCTCTCCTTGTCCTTTTAGCTCAGTGGTCTCTAAGAAAGGATACCTGAATTTCAAGGAGCCGCTGTCCAGCAACTGGGCTAAGCATTTCGTCGTGGTCCGTCGCCCCTACGTCTTCATCTATAACAGCGACAAGGACCCGGTGGAGCGTGGCATCATTAACTTGTCCACGGCGCAAGTGGAGTACAGCGAGGACCAGCAGGCCATGGTGAAGGTCTGTCCTGCTGCTCTCGGACTTTCACCACACACCTTCCCCTTTCCCTTCAGATCTGTGAGCTCTGCTGTGTGGCGTGGATGGTCAGTAACCTCCTTGCCTCCCTGTTTCTTTCAGACACCTAACACCTTTGCTGTGTGTACCAAGCACCGGGGTGTCCTTCTGCAAGCTCTCAATGACAAAGACATGAATGACTGGTTATACGCCTTTAACCCACTCCTTGCTGGCACAATACGGTAAGAAGCTGTTAGTTTTTTGGAGGCAGGGTCTTGGTCGTGTAGCCCAGGCCAGCCCTGAACTTTTGCTCCTCCGAGATTATGGGCATTTGCCACCATACCTGAAACTAAGAAGCTGTTCTTGGGTCTCCTTTTTCTTCTTAGCTCTTAGTCCTAGAGGTTGTAAGGGTGGTAATGAGGCTTCAGCTTTTCTGTTGTGGGCTGGGCACTAGTGGCTCATTCTATATAATCCTAGGTACTCAAGAGGCTGAGATCTGAGGATTGCAGTTTGAAGCTAGCCCAGGCAGGAAAATCTGTGAGACTCTTATCTCTAATTTACTACCAAAAAAGCTAGAAATGGAACTGTGGCTCAAAGTGTTAGAGCAATAGTCTTGAGCAAAAATGCTCAGGGCCAGTGCTCAGACCCCGAGTTGAAGCCCCCAGGACCATCACAAAAAAAAAAAAAAAAGATAAAATCTTGTGTCCTGAGTCACTGAAGAGTCTCTGGTCATATTTTCACCTACGAATCGCCTTTGTTTTTCAATTCTGAGGTCTGTAGGTGGTGGTCCAGAACACTGAGGAAAGGAAAGATTGTGAGGACTTCAATAGACTTCCCCATTCAGCTACAGATCCTTGAAGGGCTGTGTAACAGGATTACTCATTACCCAGAATGAGGAAGTCCACAGCTGAGCCCACTGGTTTGTTCAGGAGCCTACAGGCCTGGGCCTGCAATGCCATAGGGAATAATAGTTGTGCCGAGAGACACCTGCATCATTTTCCCATCTCGATTCTCCTTTGTCCCACAGGTCAAAACTTTCTCGAAGATGCCCAAGCCAACTGAAATACTAAGCAACTCTACTGAGCCCTCACTCGCCTTCAAGAGATAAAGAAAGTGTTACCTCTCATTTTCCTTGTGATTCCTAACGGTTACTCTTGTATGTAATCCTGTGGCTTAACTACTTTTCCCCCGTCGTTCAACACTTTCTCTAGCTCTCCTGTGCCCCATCTTCATGGCTCTGTACTCTTCTTTTTCTTATGCTGAGAATCTTGTTAGTAGCATGTGGCCTAACAAAAGGAAAAAAAAGACTAACACACACACACACACACACACACACACATGCACACACACACATGCACCCTGAGAGGATCCAGCAAATCTCCAATTTATTTTTTCATGTACTTTGGCTTCCTTTTGTACACTAGATCTCCATTGTGACCTCTGCTGCTGTCGGACTGTTGTCTTTGGATACCTCTGTCTGTTTTTCAGGATAACCTTTTTCTTTGGACTGTTTTTAATACCAGTTTAATTTTTCCTGGGTGGCTTAGAAAGTGAAGTAAGGAGACATCTGGCCTTATTAGATCCCAAAGGAAAAGCTTACCTTTTTTCCCCTCTTCTGTTTGCATTTGCTAATCCCTGCATTTGTATTCAGGAAGAAAGCTATGGTGAGCTCAAGAATGCATCAGTTAGGTTCAGAGTCAACATTAGGGCTTGTTTAGCGCATGGTTGTGGATTCTCCTAGAGGGAAAGACTGAGAAGCCGTTGCTGTGGGCCTGGGACAGTGGCTGCTTTGGGCTTGTCAGGAAGCGATGGCTGGAGATGCTGCAGTGGGGTAGAGGGGAGGGTGTGGAGGTGGGCGAGGGCAGCATCAGGAATGCCGCAGTTCCCTGCAGCAGAAGGGCCTTGCATCTCCTGATGCTGGTGGTAGTGTGGAGTTGGTACCATGTCATGCACACAGACCCCACAAGGGGGCGCCTTTCACTTGCTGGTTGTAAACTCCGTCACTATTGACGCAATAATTATGACAGTGCTGACTGTGAAATGTGACTGTTAGTAGTTTGCTTTGATTAAGGAAACCTAGCTCTCGGTGTAAACATTGGCCATTTCCAACGATGCTTGTCAACCAGGATTAAGACCAACCCCCACTACCACTCCAAGCAAAACAAAAGACACCTGCGGACAAATAATTACATTGCCCAGTCCTGCTGTCTCCCCTCTGCGGTTACGTTCCCTCCACGCAGTGTGGAGCTACCTTTGGAGCAGGAATGAGGGAACTCACTCCTGGCAGAGCCTCCCTTGGCTTCTGGAAGCCAGGGACCATCCTAGAACATAACGCTCTTGGTTTAATGCCAGAATATTTTGCAGAACTGATTGGGGACAGGAGCTCAGCAACTTGAGTTGCTTTGCAGTGACGTGGGACTGCTCCGGCCTTCTTCACTCCCTTGCCCAGCTTTTCATCATGGCTCAGGCATCCAGTAAAGCATCTGCTCACTCAGGCCCCCTGGTGGTGGGCTCGCACACATCTGCAGAGCCTGTCTGTCAGCACCCACCTCCAGAGACGGCGGGGCTGGCTTGTGAAAGTTTATCTTGCTGTGAGAAAGAAGGAGAGCTTAGGGAAGGAAAGGTGGAAATCGGCCTTTTTATCTGAGAAGTCATCAACAGAAACTCCCAAACTTCCTTCCTCTCCTTAGAATATAGTCACTAACTGTAATATTATTTGTTTCCTAAGCATAGATGAGATTTGTAATGTATTTAGGAGTCTCTTGGTTATCTGCTGGATACAGTAAGCCTCCTGGTATATACTGGCATCCCACTGGGTCTGTCTGTGCTTAGAGACAGCTTCCTAGCCTGAACTAATTTCAGGGAATGAAGATGAAGTAGAACCTGAGGTATTGTGGGAGGAAGGGTCCTGGCCGAGACGGGAGGCGGAGCCTGAGGGAGCGTGGAACCCAGCGATGCGCGGATCTGATCGATCGCTCAGGGTTTGTTGTTTGTTTTTAACACAAAACTGGTTTGGAAAGTCTTTGCTTTTGAAGTGTCAGAAGTTGGCATGAGCTGTTGCAGACGAGGAGGAAGCGGGTAAACTCCACCATCCCAGCCTCTGCTGCGGCCCGTGGGTTTACACAGCCCTTGTGGAACCCCCCTTTTTCTAGGAGCCCATTTCCACATTGGAACTCAGGCCATTTGGGGTGGGGGGTGTTGATGTTTCCAGCTGTCCATTTCTGCTCCAAAATGTGAGGAGACAGCAGCTATGTGATTCCTTTGCTACAGCCACGATGGCAGGAAAGTTCGGAACCCTTTCAGGGAAGCATTAAAACATTCCTCTGAACAAACAGCCAAAAGAATTATGCAAATTACAGAAAACAGTGCTAATTACGGCCTCCTCTCTTCACTTCCCATCCTCCTTTCTCCGACCAAACCAGAATAGGGCCTCACAGTTGCCACCACTCCAGTGCTCAGATGCGCCTGCGCGGGGCCACCTGGGAGTCAGCCAGCTCTCAGGCCCAGGCTGGGCGGGGTGGGGCCGGGCAGCCCCGCACTGCCGGTCAGGGGCACCAGCGGGCTTCCTCTGGCGCTGCGTGGCCACTTTCCATTGGGCTCCACGGCAGGTCCTTAACCAAGGGTCTTGTTCATGTGAGGAGAGCGTTTCCCCAACAAGAAGCCACTAAGCAACCAAGAAACCACGATGGCTGGTTGTTCACCCCTGCTCCCTGCATAGATTTTCCACAGCTGCTCCCAGGGGAAAGGGTCTTCAGGATCTAAAGATGTAATGACTTCTGGCACATATCTCAAAGCATGGACTTTGTTGCCTGCTGCTTCTCGTCTGATTTACAGGGATATTTAATTTTGTAAGGTATTTGTATATTTATATAGCTGTAATGAATTGCACATGGACTGGAAGAGAAGGATTCTCTCTCGCACCCCTACCGGGACTTGGTCGGCAAGCCCGCTGGGCACTGCGCTCTGCTCTGCTCTTCTGGGGCTCTTCACTGGGGTTGTTGCTTGTGTGTTGTGGGTCTTTCACCTTTCCTTTGGGTTCCCTTTTGAGATGTGATTGTTAATTTGCTCCTTAAGAAGAAAGGACTAAAGCTGCTGACTGCACTAGGTGGCATGCAGGATGTACTGGGTGGGACTCTGGTGTGTGCGCTGCCGCCATCCACCGTGGCCAGCGATCGCCACACCTGCCAGAGGTCGGCAGCTTGAGGTTATTTGCTGCTGCTGTTCAAAAGGCCATTTATGAACTGAATGTTTGAACTCTATTCTAAAACCTTTAAGAAAGCTGCCCCTCCCCCCCCCCCCCCCCTCCACCTCCCCAATCGCTTAAAGGAAATCATTTAGAGTTGATGCAGAACTCATGCTCACAGCTCACAGCCAGGGGCTGGACATGCAGCTCAGAGGAGGCCCACTTGCCTTTGATGTGTGCCGCCCTGCCCTGGGTATGGTCACCAATGCTGTAAAACGACACACTCACACGTGGCGGCTGGCCGGGGTGTGTGGCTTCTCATGTCTTCCCGTCCACTTTTTTTTTTTTTCCATGCTAAGTGTTCTGACATCAGTTTACCTGAGGAATCCACCAGCCTTTCCATAGTGAGGCGTCCGGCCCGAAAGCACTTGTGTGTTGACATCGCAGCCTCTGTCTCCATTCTCATGCTCTGTGACAAAGTCCATGACGCATAAGTGGCCTTTTTGAACCAAGACTTTGCAAACTGATCTCTCCCCAGTGAAGGAGTTGAGCACATTCGCAACAATGTACATTATTAATTTTGGATTTTCATTTTCATGTTTTATTTTGTAAATATTATCTGATGTTTGGAGCTTGAGTATAATACAGAATGTAAATACAGTTCTTGTATTTGTACTAATTCTGATTCTTTTGCTGTATAGCCTTAGATGTGCAATGCAGACATTATCTAACTGTGTGTATGGTAACCTTGCACCACGGAACTATTAGTGAACGAGGTAAAAATAATAAAGGTACAACCAGTGCATCCAAAGGCTCCCCATGTGCTTTTATTCCTACTCTACCACCAAGCCACATTCCCAGCCCACATTCCCAGCCCAAAGCCATGGTTTTAAAATTGCAGTGTGTCAGCTTAATTTAACAAGCTCCCACTGAGAGCAGAATCTGCACTGTCCTGGGAATCTGCACCCAGCAAGAAGCAAGGAGCCGCTGGGGTTCATGGCACTCACCTCTGGGGCATCGGAGGTGGCAGTAGGAAAATCTCTCCATGTCGCTGGCCCAATTGCATCCGTGACTCTGTGTCAGTATGTCCAGTGGGTATTGGGGTGCTGCTCTGCCTGGTGTGCTGTCGGGGTGCTGAGGATTCCAGGAGACAGCAAGTGTGCATGCACCAGTAGTCCCCATTCCACAACTAAAGGGAAAGAGGGAAAGCATTCATTAAACTGGTAACATCAGTGATATCACTAACTTCTCAGAGGATGAGATCTGAAGACTGAGGTTTCAAAGCCAGACTGGGCAGGAAAGTCTATGAGACTTTTCTCCAACCAACCACCAAAAAAAGCTGAAAATGGAAGTGTGGCTCAAGTGGTAGAGCACCAGCCTTAAATGAAAAGCTAAGGGACAAAGTCCAGACTCTCAGTTAAAGCTCCAGTGCTGGCACCAAAAAAAAAAAAAAAAAAAAACACAAAAAACTATCTAGTCGTTAGAGGTTATATCAGGCTGTGCTTTCCTTAAACTATGATGGACTTCCATTTTGAACTGGGTAATTAACCCTGAAGTCGATCTTATATAAGTTTCTTTTAAAGTTCCTGGGCAGATATAATAAAGACTAGTGCTCTGCTGCCTTAGACATAGCATCACTCCTCGCTTTTTCTGAGTAGTTTATTTTAAATGAGTCTCACAGATTTTCCTGCTGGGGGTGCCTTCGAACTGCCATCCTGAGATGTCAGCCTCCTGAGTAGCTAGGATTACAGGTGTGAGCCATGGGTACCTGGCTGCATTGGTGGATTTTCTAAGAACTCAGGTCTGTTCCACGTGACTCCCTGGCTCACAAGCGCTTTCCAACCCAGGGGAATACATCTTTGCTATGGCTTTGTAACAGTTCTCTGGGAAGCAGGTGTTTTTGTTTTGTTTTTCCCCTGTTAATTCCCTAACAGAGAAATGGCAAGTCGATGTAGCATGTAACATAAGAGAAAAAAATGGATGTTTGATTGCTAGCCAAACTTCTCATAAAGAGTGACCATTCTTGGTGGATTCAGGAAGTATAGCTGTCTTGTCACTTTGACTCAGCAGAATTCCTCTCTTGCTAAATCTCAGACCAGAGCAATCAACTCGCTCCAGCAACAGCATCTGAGTGCAGGCTTTCTTGGGAAGAGCCCACAGGAAGAGCATGTAGTTGCCACAAAGCCGAAAAGTCTACCTGTCACCAAGGTGCTCTCTGGAGGCGGAATTTCTACAAGCAGTTGTTGGCACGTCAAAACTACTCACAAAAAGTTAACTCCATTTAAAGTCTACTAAACACTATGTACAGTATCCACCAGTTCTGCTGGGAAAACAAGTAGTATGAGTCTCCACCAGATTCCCTTCTGACCCTAGTGGGGAGAGAAGGCCTGGCTAACATCAGGAGAAGGTCAAAGTTCACTTCTGCTCCTAACTGGCTGTGAGGGGTTTTGTTTCTTTTTGTCCTTATCAGGATAAAGGATGTTGTCTCACCAGGCACTGGTGGCTCACACCTGTAATCCTAGCTACTCAGAAAGCTGAGCTCTGAGGATCAAAGTTCAGAAACCAGCCTGGACAGGAAAGTATGGGAGACTTGTCTCCAATTAACCACCAAATATCTGGAAGTGGCTTAAGTGGTAGAGTGCTAGTTTTGAGCATTAAAAAAGCTCAGGGACAGCACCCAAGCCCTGAGTTCTAGCTGCAGGATGGTGTCTCAGGGTATTGAGCTTTTCTGGTCTTGCCTGTAGATGATTGTTCACCCTCCCACTGGGTAGGGGACAAGGCAGGCTGTGGGGCACGGTATTTTTCTGGTTTCCCATCGTGCATCTCATTGCTGTGAGGCTGAAGTGCCAAATCCAGGCTGTGAGAGGGATGGCCATGGTGAAAGCTCCCAGTATAGAATCTATTCCTGCACACTGCGTCATGTCGCTGGGCAAAGCCAGCAGACCCAGCTCCGCCCTGGGAAACTCAAGAGAAGGCTCTGAGCTTGGGGAGGGGTGCACGGCTGGCAGAGGCAGGAGGACCCTGCCTGGAGTCCAAGGACTGGAGTTGAGGGCTTGCTTCCGGTGGTAGAGCACCTGCTTACCAAGTGCAAGGCCCTGAGTTCAAAACGCCCTTACTGCAAAACAAAACCAGGACTGGGTAGGGTTCTTACCTAGCAAGGATGAGGCATGGGCTTGATCCCCAGCCCTGCAAAGATAAAGGAAAGTCTTAGGCATAAAGGGTCTCACACCAGTGGCTCATGCCTGCTTGTAATCCTAGCTACTCAGAAGGCTGAGGTCTAAGGATTCTGGCCGAAAAATCTATCAGATTTTAAACTTTTTTTTTGTTTGTACAGTGTCTGGAACTAAGGGCCTAGGTGCTGTCCCTTAGCTTTTTCACTCAGGGCTGGAGCTCTATCTACTTAAAACCACACCTCTACTTCGGGCTTTTATTATTATTATTATTTGAACTCTGGGCCTGGGTGCTGTCCCTCAGCTCTCCTGCTCAAGGTAAGCACTCTCCCATTTGAGCCACAGCGCCACCAGCACCTGGCTATGTCTGGCTTTTTGCTGGTTAATTGGAGATAAGCCTCTTACACATTCCTGCCCAGGCTGGCTTCAAATCCTGATCCTCAGATCTCAGCCTGCTGAGTAGCTAGGTTTACAGGCATGAGACACCAGTCTTGCCTTGTTTGTTTATTTATTTATATATTTATTTATTGTCAGTAGTAGGGCTTGAACTCTGGGCCTGGGCACTGTTCCTCAGCTCTTCAGCTCAAGGCTAGCGTTCTACCACTTGAGCCACAGAGCCACTTCTGGTTTTCTGGTGGTTTATTGGAGATAAGAGTCTAATGGACTTTTCCTGCCCAGGCTGGCTTTGAACCATGATCCTCAGATCTCAGCCTCCTGAGTAGCTAGGAAGGATTACAAGCATGAGCCACCAGTGCCCAGCTTTTTTTTTTAATAGTGCGCATAATTGTACCAAGGGATTGTATTTCAAATATGTATATATTATATTTTAATAAGAATAACCTTCCTTTTTGCTTTCTCTTTACCCATCTCCCAACTAATCAGCAGCTTTCTTTGAAGTTCTTATGCCATCTTCATATATACTTGCAATGCATTTCTGTATTCTTCACTCTCTCACTTTTTTCCCTTCCCTTGCAGAGGAGACATCCTGAGACCCAGTGACTTGCCCTAGGGAGGAGGGGTCAGTAGGACTATGTCTAATGTCCAGGACTCAATCACCAGCTCCAAAAGTCAGAAACAAGATCTTGTACAAAAGCCAAGTGCTGGTGGCTCACACCTGTAATACTAGCTACTCAGGAGGCTGAGATCTGAGGACCATGCTTCAAAGCCAGCCTGGGCAGGACAGTCAGTGAGACAATTATTTCCAATAAGCCACTAGGAAACCGGAAGTGGCGCTGTGGCTCAAGCTGTAGAGCACTTGCCTTGAGCTGAAGAGCACAGGGACAGCGCCCAAACCCAGAGTTCAAGCCCCAAGACAGACCAAAAAAAAAAAAAAAAAAAAGCACAAAAACTTGCCCCCAGTCACACAGCAAGAAAACAATGGAGCCAGAATTAGCAAGATGTGACATCAAAACGCTTTTCTTTTGTCAAGCAGTAAATTCCAGTTCATTCTAGAAGTCATCTGATCTACTACTTAGAACGTGCTGCCCTGCCCCCACTCTATCCCAGATTTGACTGACAGGGGCCTCAGAGAGCACCAGTCTCCTAGGGGCTGTTCCAAGTTAGCAACTTGGTGCAGAGCAAGTCAGCAAGCCTCCATCTCAAGCAGGAGTCTGGCTAGGTCAGTAGGTGGTTCTCAGACTTTCTGATCTCACTATCCCTTTACATTAATTTTGCTTCCATAAATTATATCAGTACTTGTTTTAGGAGCTGAGAAAACGAGTAGCAATTTCCACAAACAATCCAGTAAGATCATGGACTTTTTTTTTCTAGCTCAGAACTAGGGTGGTTTTTGGGTGACATTTAATATACAATATATCCGATGTATCCCCAAGATGGGTAGTTGGGTGTTTTGTTTTAGTTTATTGCAAGGTGATGGGCAGAGGTGTCACTGTTACATACCTAAGGTAGTGAGTACCCTGCTTGCCAAGCGTTGTTGCCCCCTGCCTCGTTTTTCTCCCACGTTCCCACTTTGGCCTTAACCCTCTCTCGGAGATAGACTGAAATCACATGGCCGGCACCAGACCAAAACTACTGCCAAGTGGGGCCTTGAGCGGCTGCCCCTTCCTCCCCTCCGGCTGCGACCCTCTGACCAATGTCCACCATCCACCATTAGTGACCGTCCCTCAGGCCCACTGGGCCACTCCAGCTGTCCTTCCCACTGTAAACCCCGCGGCCTGTGAGCAAGGCCTGCGTCCCCAGGCCTGGCTGGAGGGGTCCCCCCAGCCTGGTCCCCCCGTGCCGGCGTGGAGCCTTCTCTCTGCTCGCCCTTCGAAGCCGGCGGGCTGCCCTCTCGCCCCGCCGTGGCTCAGGCCCACGCGGCCCCGCACGTTCTCCGCGTCCTGGGCGTCCCCCGGCCGTCCCCCGCCCGCGGGGACGGCTACCCCGGTCGGCTTCCCAGCGAGGATGGCCCTGCGCTGCTCCGCGCACAGCAACCCGGGAGGAAGCAGCCGTCAACTCTGCAAAAAAGCCCTGTCAACTGTAAAGCGCGGACCGGCCGAAGTTACATCTTCACCGCTGAGGGTCGAAGCGAACGGCCCACGAGGTCCTGGCGGCAGCTTTAGTCTGCGCCAAGCGGCGGACCCCAGTCCGGGACCTGAGAACCAAGTCCCGGCTGGCCCAAGAGGCCACCTTGCCG